AATACCACAGCTGCTACACTGTGGAACAGGAATTAAACCAAGGTGTTTGCAACCCTGGGCAGAAAATCAGCTTAATACATGCATCCCAATTTTGTGGGGCTCATTTTGGGGGGAAGGTATGTTTTCTATGTGAGAAATTACACTTGTTCTTTCAAAAGTATGTTGGGCCCTTATAGTATGCAATCTTTGTTTAAATGTGCACAGATTGCAGAGATGGACTGCCCTTTGAATATTTTCATTTGCACTCCATGACTAATTCTTGCAAGAAGCATGAGTAACTTTCTAAATACTCGAGGCAGCCGTTGAGAATTGGGATGTGTGGGCACTCTTTCTTCCAGATCATACTCTTGACCCAGGCTACTTGGAACTCTAACAGTTTGGGTGCAGCCAGAGACCAGCTATGAAAATTTCTTGGGCATTTAAGCTGCTTGCAGACATTAAACACCCCCCCCCCAAACTGTGCTGTACTTTAAACTCAGTGTGCTCATGCGCTGAGCTCAGCACATACCTAGAAGAGGCAATGCGTTAGTTGGACCCAGCCTGCCCAATGTCTGTATAGATTGGGTGCTTTAGTGGGGCTTTTTGGTGTTTTTACTCTAATAGCTGATTGAATGAACTATAAGATAAAAGCAACAAAAAGCCCAGCATAAGTTCCCAATCTATACACACGCTGTGGAGCCGGGTTGAAGTAATGTGCTGCTGCTTCTGGTAAAGTGCAGGGGTTTTTTTTAATGTCTGTGAGTAGCCTTAAAGACTTGATGGAACATCTGGGTTTAATGGCTGTTCGTGTCTACTGAAACTTTTGAACATTTTGGCCTTGGGCTTTATCCCTTGCTATACAATCACCAGCACTATATGAGCCCACAAACATACCAGAATTAAAATAACTAGACAAAAATCTTCCTCCTCCCATTCCTTGTATTCTTTTGCTCAAAAACTCTTAACACAGAAGTTTTCAACCTTTTTTAGTCTAAGTACCCCTGGCAGCCGGATGACAAGTGGTGTGCACAGCCAGACGCCAAGCTGGGGCGGAGAGCATGTGGTCAGACACTGAGTGGGTGGGTGGAGATGGTGGGTGGGTAGGGACAGAGTGCCACCACCTTCCAGGAGCAGAACCTGGACAGGGTAGGGAAGCTTACCGGGCTGGAGTGCGTGCAAGCTTTCCCACGTCACACTGCCCTTGCCCTGTCCTGGCCCTGCTCTTGGGAGGTGGCGGTGCTCCATCCCCGCCCATCCATGTGCACCTGCTAGGACCTGTCCAAGTATCCCCAGGGGTATGTATACCCCCGGTTGCCAACCCCTGCTCTAACAGACTTTACAGACAAAAATGGCAAATAATGTTACAATGTATCGTAAAGCTGTTTACTTTTGTACATAATGACCTTTATTTCCCCAGGTAAGCACTTTTTTAACCCTCTTCCTTTATCTTTTGTAAAATATTTTTATTATAATATTATTGTATCTACTTCAAGAAAACCAGCAGTGTATTTCTGTGACACTTATATCTTACTGTGAGAATAGTCTCCAATATATCCTATTAAATAATGAAACCTATTTAAAAAATACTCAACAGTTATTGAATATGCTTTTTTTTAATTAGCAGAACCTTCCCATTCTGAAGAGGATGAAACATTTATTTCAATATTTAATACACAGATTTATTCACATGATTATGATTGCAACGGAAAACAGTCTTCTCATGGTAAATACTTATTACAGTCTTATAATTGTTGAGTAAACCTGTGGACTTCATATCTCATAGTGTAGCTGGTAGAATCAAGTGAAAAATTGGGGAAAAAATTGGTTTAGATAGAACCAAAACAACAATCTGAAGTTTTTGACGATACAATAAAATGAAATTGTTGTTTTTAGTCAACCTGAAAGACTTTTTTCAGCCTGACATAACTTTTTTAACACCTTCCTTTTTCAGTTAAGATCAGTTTGAAATGAAAAGTGCCATTTAGATATAAAATGTTATATTTTTATTTAAAAAACCCATTCAAAATGCAAAATATCAGCTTTTTCAAAGCAAAATATTTTGTTTTGAAAATGGCAGCACTAAACATTTAGACACTTCTTCAAGTTTTCTCCAGTACTTTCAGCCAATACTCCTTGCTTAATTTGACATGAATTTGTAACTAGCTTAGCTTACTCAGAAATAACATTTTATAGCAAATATATTTATTGAAAAGAAATTGCCCAGCTCTAATGCTGTAATTTAAAATTCAGATTTAATGACGAAAGGAAAAGTATCATGTACCGTATCAATATTTTTTCCTTTTTTGAAAAAGCAATTGATTATTTACTCAGAGGGTTAATTTTTGTGTATGCATGATGTCACTGGACTAGTAATGAGGTACTTTAGGTTGTCATGGCCAATACCATGTTGAAGGTACTCATTTTTGTCTCTTTCTACATTATATGATTCAGAACAGGGTTGTCCAACTGGTGGCCTGTGAGTGATTAAGTTGCAGTCCCTGGGCTCCCACCAAGTCACTACTCCCCTTATCATTTTGTCTGCAACAGCAGCTGGAGTCTCTAGGCTCCCTCTTTTTCCTCTAGCTTCCACATTTTGCACCTACCCAGGGGGTGGCATGGCACACCACAGCATAGCATGGGGAGCTCAGGGCGAGGCTTGGGGTCACTTGGTACACTGTGTGGTAGTAGAGCAGGTATCTATGCAGGCATTTGCTGCAGCAGTGGGAGGGGGCATTCATGTGGGGCTGTTGCAGTGGAAGGGGAGGCATTCACGCAGTGTGCATCCTGGGGATCTGTGACATCCCCACTGGTGTGGCTGGTGGGATGTGCAGCCCATGGGATATGTGGCCCTTTGTTGCAAAGTTGGACAGCTCTGATTCAGAAGAATCTCCTTTCTGTCTGGCCAAGAACAGGTGCTTAGTATGAGAGGAGGGACCTAGCTAAAACTCCCTCACAATTGGAGGGATAGAGAGCAGGAGCAATAACTAGAACCAAGTGCAGAGGTGAGACTGTTTCAAATAAGGCTTTTTTTAACATGTTTTGGTTTGTTAGCTTAAGACCTGTTGCTTCCTTGGCTGGTGCTAGACTTCCAGAGAACAGTAATTGGTAGAAGTGGTTATGAAAGTTTGTGCTTTATTCTTAGCACTTGCTTGAGAAATTAATGGATCTACTCAAGTAGTGCTATTGAAGTCAAACAGGTGCTTAAATGTTCTTCTGGACTGGAGGGGTGGTTTTTGTTTCATCCAGGTTGGACAGCAAACTGCAGTCCTCTGATGTTTCTTGCTACCATTGTCTCTCTTTTACATTTGATTTTTGCAAATGTTATGCGAAGAATAAATTTGAAGGCAAATGAAATTTCAACAAGTTCAGAACACAGCTGGTTCTTTCTTGATCAATATTTTGTATAAGGAACATGATATAATTATGTTTTATGGGCTATTGGTTTGTGGACGAAATTCATCATGTTCATTTTTATTCATTAAACTCCTGAGGTTTTTTGCTAACTTCAAGGTCATCTCTCTCCGTGATAACAGTTAAGACAAGTTTTTTGGAAGCTCTTGCCGTTGAGTCCTGGATTTGAACTGCTGAAGGGCAGCAGACGTGTTTCTTACGGGGGAGGCATGGATGGAGGACTCTGCTTGGGAAATTCACTTCCTGCAGGCTTACTTACAAAGCCAGGATTTCTTTGACTTCCGAGAACTTTGTATGGCCTATGTATATGCTGTGTAGAGGGCTGAGTTGAGCTTCTTTTGCAGTTTACAGTGTTTGCTTTTAGTTGACTCTCTTTGTTTGAATGTGAATTCTTCTAATCTTATTTTTTTAAATGAAATTTACACACTCTGAAGAGCTGTGATTAGTTCATCTTTGATCAATCTAAAGAGAAAATCTGAAGAGAAGTAAACACATTTCCCTGTCTAGGCCAGATAATCCCCAGATCTACCTCTAATCCCAAAATGTAAAGGAAGTAAGAAAGATCTGTTGTATATCTAGGGCAGCAAGATCATTTTGTAAGGTCCATTGCCTGTGAATGCTTGGATTTTTCAGTTAATAAATCTGCAGGGGTGGGATCATTGTTGTAGTTGTGAGAAAACATTTCATTTTAAAATGAGAAGAAAAGTCCAAATAGCACAAACCATATTTTACAAACTTTTTATATGGGATTTTAAAAACTTTTGTTCAGAAAATATTACATCTGATAATAGCCCAAAGTTGAATTAACTGCTTAAAGGATTTTACTTATCTCAGAACATATACTTGAATGTAAATTGTCATGACGAATATATTTAAGACTGTTGTTGAGCAACTTTAAACTTGCAAGTTCTAGCGTGAGTTGTTTTTTAAAATGATTTACAGACCTCTTCAGAACATCGAGGGGCTCATCTGTTCCTCATCTGTTTTATTTAAGAACCACACTTAAAATGTCCCCAGACAGTTGTATTACTTCTTAAAAATCTCTGTCTAATTTGAGGCTTAAAAAGCCTTTTTTAAAGGAAAATGTATATTAACATTTTGTGGTGAGGTTCCATCAAAAAAAGTTAGCCTTCACAAAACTGTAATCTTACATATAAGAAAACTTTAATATGTTAGCATCTCAAGAAACTTTCATTTACTATATTTTCCTTCTTGAAATGCTTCTGATGCTACACTGGAAGTAGTATAGCACTCGAACATGTTATTCAGAGAGGTTGTGGACTCTTCAGCCTTGGAGATTTTTAAGACTCAGCTAGAAAAAGCCTTGGCTGGAGTGATACAGTTTGGGATGGTCCTGCTTTGAGCAGAGGGTTGGATGATGACCTCCTGAGGTCCCTTCCACCCTCATTTTCTATGATTCTATGATTATACAGTTTAATACTATCAATAAAAAAACCAAATTCCCTTCCATTTATCATTTTCACCATTTGTCAGATTAAGTGTTCTAGTTTATACATTTAAGCAAGGCAAAAAATTGAATTGTTGTTTTTTCAGTATTGATTTAGTCTAATGAGAAGCAAATCAAATTTTTACAACTGTTTTAACTACAGACTGTCAAAATGAAATGGAAACCAGTGGCTTGTTCAATAAAGCAGAAAAATCACACTATGAAAGTAACACCAGAAGTAAAAAAAATCAGGATTTTATTAAAAAGAACATTGAGGTATGTATTAATGCCTTAACATTAAAAATGACTGAGCAAGTTACTGATAATTACAGAAAACTATTTTTAAAAAGTTACATTATCTGAACAGTTGGATTCTTTAATCAAAGATTTTATAAGAATTAATCAGATTAAAATGAATGAAATTGTAAAATAAAGTAAATTGTTAATAGTACAAAGTACTGTTAAGATCAGAATTGAGCCTTCATTGGTTGCCAAAATTAAAAGTTAGAGGCATTTCCAAATTAGGTTTTGACCAATGTGCCTTTAGATGATCGTATAGGAGCAGCAAAGGTACTTCCCCATCTAGTCCATTTTTGGACAAATATTATTATTTTTTCCAAAAACAAGAAAAAAGATAATTTAATGTAGCTTTAACATACTGGATGGGCAGTCTTAACATTATCTACCTGTTGAATAAGTATACCAATGCAATTCAAGCTGTTTGCTATTTATGATAAATCTTAATTCCTCAACTTTCATCTAGGCAGAACTTAACTTTCCATGCTTTGTTTTGGTTTTTGACCTGTTTGTCAAAGTTCTCTGCAGAAGGTTTCTTATTATGATAGAGGTGGGTTGTCTTCTATATCAGGAACTGGAATAAGACTACCAACTTATTTATGGTAGCCACCAGATTTGCTAAAAAAAGGTAATAACATTAGGTACTATTACGTAGGGTTAGATTTTAACTGGCTGCACAGAGAATAAAAGTTTTGCTTGTTTAAACATCTTCAGTCTTATGAACAAACCTAGTTTCTAAGTGTTTTTATTCTGCATTTTACCCATAAACACTTCAGTTGGCAAAGGATTCAGGGAACCAAGTGGTTATGCTTGAGGAAGAGAAGAAGAGGTTAATTGAATTATTGAAAGGTACAGAAGATGGAAGTGAACTTCAGGACACTGAGGTATGAAGCTTTATTTCTACTGACTTACGACTTCTTAAAGCATAAATATGGATATGTTCTTAAAGTCAAACTAAAGTTTTAAGTAGTGGGTTCAAATGATAAAGATTAACTTACACTACTTATTGGATACATCTACACATGCAATTAATTCGAAGCAATACGTCTGGAGCAGTGTGAGCCGGAGTAAACTATTCCTGGGTGCAGCATCTACATGTGCAGTTGGGACAACAGCAATTTGAGCCAGGGTGGAGCAATTTATGCCAGGGCTGGGAGTACAGGGTGGCAGCCCTGGGCTCCAGGTTGCGGCATTGAGTGGCGGAGGGGCTGACTGAGGCATGAAGGTGTTGACAGTGTAGAGCTGTGTGGCTAGGTGGCAGGCAGGAGCCTGGCCCTCTGCTGCCTGGGTTTACCAGGTCCAATTTACCCACACAATTCACTTGCAGTCTGTGTCTAACTGCAGTTAATAACCCCACGGTAAGATAGTACTGTCCCTGACTGTGACAGGGCAGCACTTATGTCCTGGCACAATTGGTAAGAAGACAGAGGAACAGAGGGAACGAGAGTGTCCCACCTTCATGGGAAGTCAGTAAAGTGAGAACTGAGAAGAATTATGGCTTTATTGATGGTGCCAGGGCTGGCAGGGAGAACGGGCTAATGGGGAGCTGACCAGATAGGTTCCGGCAGCTGACCCAGAAGTAGAAAAGCCTGGGGTTGGGTGAGTTGTTTTCCCTGGAGAGGGGGACTGGCAGGAGCAGGTGCTTGTGCAGCTGCATGGAGGTGCAGAGATTACCTGACCCCAGCTGGGATTCAACGAGTCCAGCAAAGGAGGATCTGAAAGCTATGAGACTTACCTGAGGTGACAGCTGGTGTAAGAGCATCAAACTGGAGGCCTGCAAGGAATTGATCCAGTGAGTGAGGCATTTGTGTGTCTGTTACCTAAAGGGAAGAAGAGATGGGACAGCTAAGGGGATCTGCCCTGTGAAAATGGGAGTTCTCCCCTTCAGCAGGGACAGAACACGGGGCTAAGCCAGGGAACTGAGTTAAGTTGGCTATTGTTCCAGATCAGGACCCTGTGAATTAAAGCAGAACAAAACTAAAATTCCAGTCCTTAATTTGAACACTGGCTGTAGGAGGTGATCATGAACACATTCAGAGAAGTATTAATCTGAGATTCTAAGGGCAAGTAAGCCTAAGGACAGACTTAGAGGGGTACTTGTGGGGGTGTAAGCCCAAGTGCTGGGAATGGTTCGTGACCCATGCAGCACGTGCTTTATAAGCATTCTCAAGACTGTGTTGGTGCACTTAGCATGGAATATAATTAAGGAATTGCACCCCAAAACATTTGGTGTGGTAAGGGTAGGGTATGGGGATGAAAGAGCCCTGTGAAGAGGCTGAGTGGACAGAGATGTTGCATTGAAAAACAACAGTTACCTCCAAATATTTACTTTTTTTCTTTTGGATTTTCTTTAATATCAAAGGCATAGCAGGCAAGTACTGAAGAGGATTAGCAAATCTGGGGTGGATTAACTGGACATATCTCTCTCCAAGATCCTTGGACTTCCACACTGACAGTACTGTCTTATGGCTGCATTAATTAGTTTACTGCCGCCTAATAGCATCTCACATGTAGACAGTGATGCTCTATTTTGCAGCTAATTAGTCTACTCTGCACTTGAGTGCATGTGTAGATGCAGCTGCTGTTAATAGTGTTTTATGGGTTTTTTGGATGTGAAGTTTCAAAGTAATGATCTTAATCTCTTAGTAGTATCAGAGTCTACTCTCTTAAAATTACTTTAATATTAATTACTATGCAGTCTTTTTACTGCTTATAACAAGTGACTACCAAGCCCCCACAAAGTTTATAGCTGCCATATGTTCACATCATATTATGCTTGACACTTGCCAAGCATTAGGGATGATGAAAATGGGGTTACATCAGTTAATGCTGAGATCAGTGTAGATGTTATAAGTACATATTATAGCAACAGCATTAGTTGAATGGCAGTGAGCTGAAACTAAGCAAGGATCCAATGGTAAAACAGTGTTGATAGTTTGTAAGCTAGGGACTTTGTAACTATTTTACCATACCATAACACAGAAGCATTGTAATGCCATTTATCCCAAACAGATTGTAATGTCAATTTACCTTTCAAACAAAGGATTCTTTGAATATAAGGATGCTGTCCTGCAGGTAAGTTACAAGCGTTCTTGATATTGTATCCCCAAATAGTTTTGTAAATTAGTTATCAGACAGACTGACACTTTTGGAAATAGTAAAGCATAGTTATATAGGGCAGACATGCTGAAATAAACCTCCTTACTTTGAGCCAGAGATGTCGGTTTTCCAGTAAATTTTGAATTGGAAAATTTTCCAGAAAATTTTCTGATGCCCTAAATAGAGCACAATCTGATTTAGCATGTTTATTTAACTTTTATTTAGTAAGCAAAACTAAAAAAGTACCCCCATGTTAATTTTATATCCCAGTAGCCACAAGTATTTGAGCTGAAATATTTGATTAGGAAAAAAATTAAATACTCTTAATGTGGTTTAAATGATATATTCAAACAAATTCAAAGCGTTATGTAGAAAGAAATTATTTTTATTGGAATATTTGTGAAAATGGAAAGACAATACACAATAGCATGTACTTACATCATTTGTTTAAATTTAAGAAAAAAACCGAAGGCACTGAAAACTGTTGACGCACTAATTTTAGCACACCCAAAGAACTGTGCATGATATGCTGTGGTTGTCCATTCATCTACTTCAACAGTTTAACTCTCTTCCACTGAGGTCATTGCGGTACCTCCAGTTTCACTGTCACTATTTGTAGAATCACTTGCACTACTTATTAGTTTCATTGCAGAATCAGATTGAGGCAAATCTGATTCAGAACTACTTGAACCACATTATCTTTCACTAAAGGATGGTTTTATCAATGAGTCTACGGGCAAGGGCAACTTATTATCGTATTGTATCTTCTTCACTAATTGTGCTTCTGACTGATTTTCCAGAAGCAAGAGATTTTGAGAAATAGAAACAAGCTTAGCGGTGTGTTTATTTGTTAGTCTATTGCTCTTTTTTGTCTTGACTGAGCTGTAAGCCTTCCAGTCCTGTTCACAAGAAGCTGCTGTTGGTGGAATGCTTAGGATTCTTAGAGCAATCCTGGATAAGTCAGGTGTTACCGTATCCCTTCCACCATGTGAGAAGAGACATATTTTCTGCTGCCTGCCAAATGATATCTTTGCTCCAAAGTTTTTTTTTGCGTGGTACTCAGCAATGCCTATCATCGTGGCTATTTCATCAATGTTCAGGACATTCTTAGCTACTTCCATAATTGTATCAAGAGCAGTAAATAATTAATCTTTTTGGATAGAGGTGAAGAAGGCAAAAGCTCATTTTGATTTTCATTCACTTGTCTGAATATCTCTGGAATATTTTAAAGGCTTGGTGCATCTCCTTCAAGTTTCTTGATAGCCACTGAAACTGGTAGTAGCAAACTGAATGCTTCTTGAACTTGAACCCAGAACACATTATTGTCAAGAATCTGCTTCTGAATGTCCACGGGAATAATCTGGGATACTGTGTTACCTAGTGAAGCACACAGCAAACAGTTCTTTGTGTGCAGCAAACTATGCAAACGCTTTGTAGCGGAGCCCTATCTAGTTTCTCCTGGCAAAAAGAGGGCAGTTTTGCTTCCCCTGCTTCTCTTTCTGTAATTTCTTCAAAGTCTGATTAGCAACATGATGATGGTTGAATACCTTCACAATCGCTTTGCAGTTTGCTAATATTGTCTTTATTGTATTCACACTTACTATGTTCTTTGCCAGAAGATTCAACCCATGAGCAAGACATCCAGATACTATTAAATGAGGATACTTTGCCTCTAATATTTGCCATGAAGCTTTCACGTTACTTGCATTATCAGTTACAAGGGCTTGTACTCTGGAGGGACCTGCACTTTCAGTCTCTTCACTCAGTAATTTGGCTATGTATTCACCTGTATGATGAGAAGGTTTGTTAGCAATTGCTTTCAGGAATATTGATTCAGGTATTGCTAACATTATGTTCAATAAAGGATTTCTTTGTATATCAGTCCATCCATCTGACATCAGAATCTTTTTCTGAATTGATTTGGAGGCTTGCAATTTGATTTGGACCTTTTAAATTGGTCTCCTGATTTGATTTGGATTTGGAGATTTGGCCACCAAATTGGTCCATACCTTCTCCAAATCAAATCGGCTACTGAAGCTTTGCAAAGCTCTACTGCCAAGCTTGCCTAATATTGCATTGGCATCCATTCATTGTTACTAATGAATTTTAAGAAACAATTTTTAGAAATGGAAAATTTCCCATGGAAAAATAAAGCACTGGAAAATTTTCCACCCCACATCTCTGCTTTGAGCAGAAAACTGGGATAGAAAGTGAATACATTTTGGTCGCCTTCTCCATATTCCCAGTACCTGCAAGTGCCCCAAAGCCTTGCAGAGCAACAGAATCTTCTGAAAGTGTCCCGTAGGCATGGATTTTTCTTAACCCCTGAAAATGGTGGAGGTCAGACTAGAAGGTCATTTCTCTTTTTCCCCTGTATGGAAGAGATGATCCTCTGACTTAAGACCTCAAGGACTATTGCATTTACTTGAATATAAGACAACCCTGAATAATTAGGTTCTATATATGGGAAGTTTATAAACTTGGAGGTTTGCCTCAAATTTGTCCCTGCAAATTTATTGCCCTCCCACTGCTACAACAGGGAAAATAAGGGGGAGGGGGGTCAGGTGCCTCCCTTGCCCTCTGCCTGGCAAATTTTTCTTCCTTCTACAGCCCACATCTCACCTTACTGTTAGACTCTGCTCTCCCTGAGCACATGGAAATGAGGGGCAAATCCGAAAACACTGATAAGATGAATTGATGCATTTTTAGTGAAGGGATTCTACAAATATACTTTTAAGCAGCGCTTTTGTACCTACATGTATATACAGTAAAAACCATGCATAAT